TTTGCTAACGGCGATGCAGGGCCGCGCCCCCGTGGCGGTCCAACCGCGCGTCCCGGACACAGAAGGGGTCGCGCGCGACCGCGCCTCTGCGCGTTCGCCAGGAAGCGGGCCTGCGGGCCAGGGCGGCGTGCCCCGATTATCCGCCGCACAAGCGATTCAGGTTGTCGGAAGGTCTGCGACGCAATGACATTGACTCGGTCCGCGAGCTGGTCGCGCTCGAACGACGCTCTTTCCTTGTCGACCTTGAGTTTCAAGACCCACTCGAAGAGGAAGAGCGCGCGGAGCTGCTGGCTAGTTTCGATGGGACACCAGCAGGGCGCGCGACTCACCTTCACCCTCTTGGCCCCGGCTCCAGCGCCAGCAGTTCGCTCGTGGGCAGCGCGATGACAAGCGACAAGCGGCATGCAGCGGGCACTGTGGCGCGTCGGGAAGCAAGGTTCCGCGCGCGCGCGGGGCAGGGCACGCCGCTCCCGCGCCCGCTTAGGCGCAGCCCTCGGGCAGTTCGTCGTCCTCGTCCACGTCCGATGCGGCGCGCCCCGCGGCCCGCGACGGGAGGGTCGGGCGCGGCGTCCCATCCGACAAGGTGCCTGCGTCTACGCAGCTCGCCCGGTTTTTCAGGCAGGCTGGAGTAATGGCTCGCGAACAGAACCGTCATTCCTCCCACGCGTGGACGCGATATGGCCCATGTTCGAAGCCGCTGAGATTGGGGCAGGCCCGTTCCCGGGCATTGAGCCAGACGTGAAGATGCGCGCGCTGCGCCGCGAAGTGCTGGCATTGGGCGCCCGCGACCACTGCATGCTTCTATGACAGCCGGTCTTTCCGCCGGGGGTGCGCTGAGCTGGTCAGGCGGCGCGGGGGCACCGCCGGTGTGATCCCTCTGGTCGGGCGGTTGGTCGAGCGAGGCTTTCCACGCTTACCTCGACCGACGGTGCCTCGAGCGCGACGCCGCCCGCGAATCGGCCGGGCCTGCCTCGGGTGGCAGCGGGCAAGGTGATGCCGCCCAGGTGCGGCGAGGGGCGCGCGTGCCGTGCCCGCGCAAGCGCCGCGCTTTTCGCGGAGCGTTGGGTGGCGCGATCGGGGCCGCGAGATGCGCCCGCCGCCGCGCGGGCCCGCGGGTCGCGCGCGGGTCGAGCGGTCGACCTGCTGGCGCACGCGCGCCTGGCGGCGGCGGCGTTGGCGGCGCCGTCGTGTTTCGCCCAAAGTTTGGCGCTTGCATGACCCTCGGGGGGGGGCGAGCTGGTTTGCGCGGACGACGCGGCGCTTGCGGTGTTGCGGGGCACAGACGGGGAACGACGTTGTTGCGCGGGCGGCAGCGCGGCGCAGCGCGGCGCCGCGCGTCATGGCTGCGCCGCTCGGGAGAGCGGCTCAACCCCCCCGCCAAGGGGCTTCGCGCGCGGGAGGGTTTCTCAGCGGCCGCCACCGCCCAGGGGATGGACCCTTGCGGTGGGCAGCGTCGTTGTTTCTCCCGCCATGCCCGCCCTGGGTCTTGCTCGCCCAGCGCCGCCGCGCGGGGCGCAGTGCGGGGGGCCGGGCGCGGTCGAACGCGCGACCCGCTGGCCCGCGCGCGCCTGGCGGCGGCGGCGTTGGCGGCGCCGTCGTGTTTCGCCCGAAGTCTGGTGCGTGCATGGCCCGTGTGGGGGGGGGGGCGAGCTGGTTTGTGCATCCCCATATAGTCTGAGACACAATTAGCCCAGGCATGTCCAAGCGATGCATGGTAGCTTCAATGGTATTTGTGCACCTCCAGCTCTGCTGCCCGGCCGGAAATGCATCGCCGACGCGTCCGCCCATCGTCTCCTGGAGTGCCCGTGGGCGGCGTCGCGCGCCCCTGCGCTCGTGGAGTGTCTTGGTCCTCCTATGTTGGAAATATTGGTAAAGGTGCAAAACGTCGGTCGCCCTAGACGCCCCCGACGCTATCCTATGCGTCTCAACCGTGCGTGCTAAGAGCGGGAACGTACATCAATCGTGATGGCGATGCAGAGATGGCGCTTGTCGTCTGCCGCCGCAACTCATAGCGGCTCACTGCCGTGGCCGCCGCGCGTAGCATCGCCAACGCATCCGCGGCGCCCGACGTGCAACATCATGCCCGCACTATGCGTGCTGCGTCATGCGTGCCAGGCGTGCGAGGGGGGGCCCAGCCCCCCCTCGCGCCCCCCCTTCCCGCCAGCGCACTTGCGTGCGCCTGTCGCCGATGAGGGGGAAGGGGAGGATCCGATAGGTTGTTTCACGTCCACTCTCTGTGTCCTTGTTTGCGGGCGGCGCACCCCATTCAACGGGCTTGCGCGCGGTCGGGGAGTTTTCTTTTTACGTGCGGCCTCCGCCTGCGCCGCGTCTGCGACCCGCTCCGGATGGCCACCCTTCACTTCTGTTGGGCCGCTTTCGCGGCTGTTGATGGCGCTCGTAGGCTGCGGCGCCACAAAAAATGGCAGTTTTAAGACACGCTCAGGTCTAATGTATATATATATATATATGATGGAAGCAGAACAGTTTTCGGACGTGCTCAGGTATATATATATATATATGTGATGGAAGAATAACAGTTTTCGGACGTGCTCAGGTTTGATATCAGTTTTCGGAATGCAGCGGGCGCGACGCGAATCCGCGGAGGACGGCCTCTTGGGCGCTCTGCCCGAGGCCACCTCCCCGAATGGAGGTGGCCTCAGGCCAATTTTCAACTCCAGGCGCCTCCCGACGGCTCCGGCAGCTCGAGAGAGCGACGGCGGCGATGACAACGGCCCTTCTGAGTCCTTGCAGGGGCCCTCCAGTGGTTCGAGCTGCTCAAGGGAGCGACGGCGACGACGAAAACGTACCCTTCCAGCCCTTGCAGGGCCGCCTGGGTCGCCCCAGCAGCTCAAAGGAGCGACGGCGACGACGAAAACACTCCCTTCGAACCTTCGCAGTGACCCTCTGGTGGCTAAAAGCTAAAGAGAACGGCGGCGACGACGAAAAAGTCCTTCCTCGCCCTTGCAGGGGCCCCCCGGTGGCTCGAGCTGCTCAAAAGGAGCGACGGCGGCGACGAAAACGTACCCTTTCCAGCCCGTGGCAGGGATCCACCGGTGGCTCCAGCAGCGGAAGGGAGCGACGGCAACGGCAAAAACGGTCCTGCAGACACCCCCGGTGACTCCAGCAGCTCATGGGCCATGGGAGCGACAGACGACGACGACGACGACAATCTCTTCAGGCCCTTGCATGAGGCCCCCTGGTGGCTCGAGCGCCTCAATGGGGCGACGGCGACGACGACGACGGCCCCTGCGGGCCCTCGCAGGGGCTGGTGGCTCCAGCAGCTCAAGAGAGCGACGACGACGACGGCCCCTTCGGGCCCTTGAAGGGAGCCCCTGGTGGCTCCAGCAGCTCAAGGGAGCAACTGCGACGACGACGGCCCTTGCGGGCCCTCGCAAGGACCCCCCGGTGGCTCCAGCAGCTCAAGCGAGCGACGGTGACGACTATGACGGCCCCTTCGGGCCCTTGCATGAGGCCCCCGGTGGCTCCAGCAGCTCACGGGGCTGGCGACGACGATAAAAACGGTCCCTTCGGGCCATTGCAGGGTCGCCCGGGTCGCCCCAGCAGATCAAGGGAGCGACGCGGCGACGAAAACGGTTCCTTCGGGCCCTTACAGTGACCCCCCAGTGGCTCCAGCAGCTCGAGGGAGCGATGGTGACGACGAAAACGGTTCCTTCGGGCCCTTGTAGCGACTGCCCGATGGCTTCAGCAGCACAAGGGAGCGACGACGACGGAAACGGTCCCCTCGGGCCACCGAAACAAGTTTTCGGCCAAATCCAGAAAGCAAAACATTAACAGATTCGTTGCAAAATCGCCCCCGATTCCAACACTAACAGGAAATACAATTTTCCAGCCCGCGGAGGCTCCCCGAGGCCAAGAATTTCTCCCCCCCTCACCCCCCTAAAGGACACGTCTCGATGCGCTCTTGTCTTCTGGTTTTCGATTGCAATTTTTCCAACGTTTGCAATGCATTTCAGACAGGTGTGCGCCTGGCGCTCCATATGGTACTTCTTTCGCGCTTGTCCCTCTCCTTTTCGGAAAACCAGTAAAACATTTGGCGTTAGCGACCCCTTCTTCAGCAGGGAGTGGTCTGTTCTGAAGTGCTCGAAAACATTCACCATCGATGAATTTCAAAGAAGTCTACATCGGAAAGAGCTCCGGAGGTTTCAGCGCTAGTGCAACTGCGAGCAGACCCGGAGGGTTCAGCGCTCCCAGACATCGGCACGAGCCCCGAAGGGTTCACCGCCGGTGTAAGTGCGAACACAAGCCCCGAAGGGTTCCGCTCCCCCAGATATCGGCACGAGCTCCGGAGGGTTCAGCGCCGGTGTAAGTGCGAGCGCGAGCCCCGTTGGGTTCAGCGCCCCCAGCTGGCGTCGCACGAGCCCCGGCGGTTTCAGCGCAACGCCGCGGCACGAGCCCTGGAGGGTTCAGCGCCGAGCACGAGCCCCGTTAGTTAGGGTTCAGCGCCCCCACGCCGGGGTCGCACGAGCCCTGGAGGGTTCAGTGCAACGCCGTGGCACGAGCCCTGGAGGGTTCAGCGTCGAGTTCCTGCGAGGACGAGCCCCGTACGGTTCAGCGCCCCCAGTCGGCGTCGCGCGAGCCCCGGAAGGTTCAGCGCGACGCCGTGCCACGAGCCCCGTAGGGTTCAGCGCCGTTGTAACTGCGAGCACGAGCCCCGTAGGGTTCAGCGCCCCCAGCCGGCGTCCATGAGCGTTGTAGCGAAGTGGCCTTGTTCGCTCCCTCGCCCCCCCCCTCCGTCCATGCGACAGTCGCGCCGACCATGCGCAAGCGTCAGCGAGACCACCAACGGTGAAACCCAAAGGGGCCCAACAACGGCCCCCTGAGGCTGTGACAACTGGGAGGTTCCTTTGTCGGTCGCTCCCCGATCGACCTTCGATCGGTCCCCGATCGGCTACGATGACGACGCGCCAGGAGCCACTTGGGCTCGAGGACCCCCCGCGGCGCGCGTCGACGCCTCGGGGGGTGGCGGGGGGGGCGCGGAGGGGCGGGGCGGTATGCAGAGGGGGCTCGGCCGCTCCCCCACATTCCTGGTGGGCACCGACAG